GAACCATCATTTCTGATTTGCTGGTTTAAGGTTGTGGACCACTGAGCTGTCTTCAAATGATGCCTTTCACAATTGTACCAAGGCTGTACCAGATCCCTGTTGAGAGGGGTTAGATTTTCTTGTGTCCCCATCCCCAACATTTCAGGAACTTCCTCAGCCCTGGCAGAACAGCAGTATGCAGAGGCAGCTAGGCTGCAGTGTGTGCACTGATGGTAAATGGGATAATTTGGATGTTGACACGCCCTTTTTAGTTTACTTGGGTAAAGAACAAGTCTGTGAAGTTAGTTTTGCCTCACCAGTACTATTGTCACAGAGTACCTCCTGAGACATAATGGATACAGAAAGAAAAAAACAGTCCAACAAGGTCTGTGAGTTAATTTCTCATTTAGACAGGGGTTTAAAACAAAACAAAACCAACCCCAAAAAACAACCTCTTGCTGTTCAGAGAAGAAGGGCTTGTTTGATGGGGCTGTAGGCAGCTGTTCTGCCTGTTCTCTGAGCTCTGCACAGTGTTTATTTGTCACTGCTGGGACAGGATGGCAATTTGATCAGTGTGTGAGGTACTAACACACAGTTGACTAACACCAGTGACTTCAGAGAGATTCTGTTTTTTATAAAAAGAATAAAAAAACAAGTAGAACTTTTTCCAAATTCATACCTGGTTCAGGAGCAGCACCAGTGTGACAAGGATTTTATAGTACATAAAGAGACAGACGTTGTGTGAACACTAAAATAGGTCTCTCAAAAGTTCATCTGTATCAGAGAGCAGAGAGCAAAGGTGACTTATTTATGCTTTTTTTATGATGATGTGGGAGCTGGTGTGATTGGAAATCAGGGCTACACAAATGGCAAAATCAAAGCACTAACCCTTTGAGTGACTTTCTAAGAGCTGTGCTGGACCTTATGGTTTAGGTCAACCCTCGATGATTGCTTCAATTTTGTGAGGTCCAGTAGATCGTATCAGATAGTGATCATGTTGTGTGACCTCCTGTGGCCTCTATAAGAGGTGTCTTAAGAAGTTTCTAGATCTGGGATAACTTCTTAGTATAGAGAAGTTTGTGGGAAGATTTTCATCTTGATTTTGAGAGTGGAAATGTAGAATTAATTATTCTGGTCGTAACAAAGTACGCAACAGATTTATCTTCTCCTCCCCCCTCCCATTCTATTCTGTTCTTTTTTATTGAATTCAAGAGTTCTACTTAAGAATTGTTTTCTTTTGCATGTTATTCTCCCTTTCTGTGGTGTGATGTAAACAGAACAGTTCTGCTACACTGAGGACAGTGGATTTCTCCTGTTACACTTCACTCAGAAGTACATAGATTGTCATTCCCTTTGTACAACTTTTCTCAACATCATGTGTTTGATTCACCTGGATGCTTTCAATGTGGTTGACAGGATAAAGAGAGGCATATTATCTGGCACTCAATGTATTAAGAAAAAAGAGTAATTCAAGTTAATTTATTGATTTGTAATATCAGAACTTTTGAATTTTATCCTTGTTTTTTTCTTACCCTTGTACATTCATGAGTAAGCTTCTACACAGGTAATAAAATGCTAATTAGAAGTCAACTTCTAATTAGTCCTTCCAGTAATTGTTATTTATGAAGGTGGATTGACATGGTGTTAGAGATGAGCATGTGTTCCAAAAATATGGCTTTCCATAACCAGAGTGAAAAAATTAATTTCCAAGAGAATTTGTCATGAGGCTGAACAATGATAGGACTCAATGCATCCATGCATGCATGGATGAGTCAGCTCACTTTATGATTGTGTGCTGAAATGGCAACGGAAGGGAATAAAATGAGAGAAGTAGAAATCTATATACAGAAGCATCTATTCACACATGTGAACAACTGATTGTGGTCTAATACATTTTTCCAGTAGTTAGTATTAAGATTTCCAAAGTCTTCACAAACATGGCCATGGTAAAAAACCCTCAAACAAATCCCATGTTTGTTTGGCAAAGGCTTCTATGTTCTTCTTATTTCAGGAATCTTTCATGCACTTTGCAATCATCAAAGTTGCTGTGTGTAATTTCTGTTGACTTAATTTTTTTTGTCAGAGTTACTGAGGAGTAAACCTTTTCTAAGAAAGGGAAGATTTCAGAGATTTTTTTTTTAATCCAGGGCATAGTAGTTTGTCCTTATGTCATTTAATGGAGAGAGGTGATTAAAAAGAGTGCAGAACTCATTTTAAAAAAGCTGCATATAGAACTAAATAGAATGCTTCTTTGCTATAAAAATGTAACTATTACTGAAACTACATTTGGAAATTTTTCTGCTTCTGGTTCCCTCTTTGTCATATGCTGATGTCACTAATCTGATTTGAAATGAAATAATAAGTACTAGTATCAAAAATAATTTACAATAAATGTTGAATTATTAGACTGTGTTCATTTACTTGTTTTACCTCCTCCTACTCTGCTGCTCCATCTGCTGCATAGTTTTCCTGTTAGGCTATTTTCTACTGAAGGTTTTAAGCTAATAAATACAGTGTAGGGAAAGAGCAAAATATGGAATATTTACTTAGAGTAAATGTTGTGTGGGGAAGATGGAAGAACTGAAATCAATAGAAGTCTATCTGAAATTAGAAAATGAGAGATATATGGCATATGTTCACAATGATGATAGTTTACTAAGAGTGTGACTTTTATACCTATCTATTAAAACTTATACCTTCAGTTTAGATGCTCAGGCCTGAGTTGTTACCTGGTTTATAGTAATTAACACACTCTCAAAAGCTTAAGAATTAAATTTTTTTAATTTGATTTTTCAAAATTTGTATTTAAATGCATTTATTGCATGTTGGTGAGTTTCCCTTGCTGTTGAGGGAAGGATGTGTTTTACAGGTAAACACACTGGTGAAGTGTTTTTCAAAAATATCATTGTGTAGTTCATCAGCCCGGAAAAAAAAAAATCCAGTGAAACCTGTTGTTGTTGGCCAGCACAGCATGTTAGAATGTTGGGTGGTTTTGAAACATCAGTATTCAGTTCTTGTCTATTCCAGTTCGTCTTTGAAGACAAAAGTAAATTTTTAGGCAAAAATTTACTGTGAAAGAATAGGAAAAAATATTTACAATGCCCAGAAAAATGTGGATTTCCCAAAACTGGGAATAAGAACAATTGCAACTGACACTCAGGTGATTCTCAAAATGTTGCTTAATGGAGGCTTTTTCCCCCCCTTTTTTATTAACAAAGATGGGGGCATTTTTGCTTGATCATTACACTTCCTATATCTGTTTTTATTTTCTTATTTTGATAACACACAGAAGGCTAAAGCAGTTATTCTTATGCTGTCTTTACACAAATTCTGGTGCTGGAAATATGTCAGAGAGGAGATGAGTAAAGTGGCCTCTAGGGACTATAGTTACTATAACAGAAAGAATGAAATAAGGTATGACAACCTTGAAGTGATTTTCATCTACAGTGGCAGGGGAAAACTGTGGTATTACTGGAACAGGGATAAAGTAGATGAGACAAGCAAGAGCTACATTGTCAGTGGTGCAAAACCCCATCTTGGTGTGTCTGAGTGAGAGCTTTTTTAGCCTCTCAAAAAAGAGGGGGCCACTCTTATCACAGACAAATTAAGAGTAGGGTTGGATGGTTTTTGGATGAGGGACAGTGCATTACACTGAGAATATCAACCTGGTTTTTTCATGTCTGAATGACCCTTGAAGCATGGAATTTGTGGCTTAAATGCTCCACTGTGAGTCCAGCCAGCACTGGGCACTTGGAAAAAAATTCTTTTCTCAGCATGGGATTTAATTCCCCAAAATTCATTCCAAAGACAAAGATAAAACCAAAGAAAGTCGATCTCTGACAAGTAAGCAGACAGCTTTAGAAAACCAGAAACTCAAGTGGCTTTTCAGTACTCATGATGAGCTGAAGAACTGCATGTTCTAGAGTAGAATGTCTTTCCTTTAGCAAATATAAAAGTTTGGTTTTGATAGGAGAGAGCACTGAAAACAGGGTACTAACACCTGAAACGAGCTCAGCCTTTCCTTGTGGATACCTTTCCTCAGGGTAAAAGCAGGTGAATGTCCTGTCACTGTCTTTGTCCTCTTGAGGACAGTCACATGCTGCAGCACCGGCCACCAGGAAGTGGGAGAGCTGAGGATTTTGATGTGAAGTCTTGTTAGAAAAAAGTGACAGACCACAGAGAGAATAAGCAGCTGTAGGGAAGATGGATAAACTGAATTTAGATACTCTGTCCATTACACTGAAAGAAAGAAATGCTTAGATCAATTAGATAAATGCTATTTAATGTGGATATACATCATTGAGCTAAAATGCAGTGGATTTAAGTGCTGTGTGAACTGGGAGCTTTTCCTTTTCCTTTTCCTTTTCCTTTTCCTTTTCCTTTTCCTTTT